CTACGTTCCTTTTTCGTCTTTTTCTTCCTTCTCTCTCTCTCTCTCTCTCTCTCTCTCTCTCTCACTCTCTCTCCTTTTTCTCCACTGCACACACACCCGTTCATTATTATCGTTCTCTTAGGTATGTACACACATATCGAAAAATCGTATTGCGTGTTTCAATCAACGATCGAACTCAAACACGGGGGGCACGATACTCGATTTCTCCTCGCTATTTTCGCTCCTTCTCCTAGATCTTCGATTATTTCACTTTTCGCCTTCCTCCTTCCTCTCGCATTATCTCTCTCTTTGTCGCTTATATCAGCTGTTTCCGCTTAACGATTAAACACGTAGAAATTGGAGAATAAAAAAAGGGGGCGGGAGGAGCCATTTCGTCCGGGCGTGGTTTCCAAAATCAGATTCGCGGCCTGGATTGTGTTTCCCTTTAAATTATTTGCCAATTGCCGATTATCCGTATCTATCGCGGATAAGAAAAAAAAAAAAAAAAAAAAAAAAAAAAAGAAGGATCATAAGCGTAACAACGGACGAGCGATCAAGTTGCTTGGGACAAAAAGAATTTTTTCTCTCGAATTGAATTCTTCGCATGGACGAGGCTGCGATTCCAACGCGAGATCGATCACGCCGGGACGATTTTCCTTACGCGATATTCACATAAAAATGTTTTTTTTTCTTTTCTTTTTTTTTTTTTTTTTTCTTTTTTCGTCATCGTAGATACTAAACAGTCGAGTCGAAAAATAATATCGAGACGGCCTCGTTCACGTGCTCTCGCGATACTCGCTTTCCTCGCTTCGCATTTTCGCTCGTGTTCCACGGAACAGTCTCAGCTTAGGATCACTCGAGTGCGGCACGAACGATACAAGTTGATTTTTCATCGTTTGACTTTTTGATCACATCCCCCTTACCCGTTAACAAATTCCTCGCTTCGATCGATCGATCCTTTATCTCGTTTTCGAGAAAACGAGCTTAATATTTCTATTTCCCTACTTTTTTTTTTGGAAACACAGACGCTCTAGAAGATTCGTATCGCCTATAAACTCGTAGAATTTTGAAATTTGGCCACTTTTCGTTTACAATTAATACGTACGTGTGTATCTAGAGATAGAGATCCGCGAAAGAAATTTGCAGAATTTCTGTTCCGGCGTTTTCAAATAAATGGGTACGTTCCATTTTCTGGTATCGACTACTTGGTTAACGCTTGGTCTTTCTAGTCTCTCTCTACTTATCCCACGACAAGATCGAAAAATTTCGCAATAATTCGTACAATAACCGTTCTTCTTCTATTTCATTCGATAAATATTCGTTAAATATTCAAACGTATCTCGGAGGACAGAATATATATATATATATATATATTTTTTAAATAGAACAGTAATTGCAATATCGAAGCATTTCGTCGCGTTTCGCCTCTTTCGTTTATCCATTGAACAGTCTTAAAATTGAAGAATAATTAATCAATTATTAAAGTGATTATATCCTACGGTTACAACTTTCTTCTCTTTAATCTCTAATAAAGACGATACGATGATAAATGTTTAAAGTGATTGCTTTATTACTGATTGAAGTGATTAGTTTAATATTTCGGACAATAAGGAGTAAGAAGATCATTTAAGATTCGAAAACTTTGCTCTCAGGCCTTCTCAATTCTCGAGCGATCGAAAGAAAGACTTTTTTTTTTATCATTATTATTATTATTTGTTTGTTCATCAATACACACGCACACACGAAATGCAGTCACTCCACGTTAACAATTGTGTCAATTAACGATAATATTAATTTTTTTTCTTGCTTAGCTATATTATATATATATATATATATATTTTATATATATATAATATGTATAATGTAACACGATGATATAGGCTTGATATGACGGTGGCACACGTTTACTAACCTTTCTTCTCACTTTCATTTTTTCCCTCGTTTAACATCCTTTTCCTCGACTCGATAAATTTTCGAAAAAAAACATACATTTTTACAGAAACGAAGGAACGAAAACCCTCCCGATTTTATCGAATTGCTTCCACACAAATGTTTCGAATATTTGAATATTTTGTGCCAAGAGAATAAAGATTCTTTTTTACGAGACACGAAGTAAATCAAATAAAAATTAGATATTTTTGATTATCGTTATTCATTATCGATTTAATCAGCCTCACCGTCCTTCGATTGTCTTGTCTCCAATCTCGCAAAAATTCTCAAAAAGAAATTTGCCTCCCAGCGGGGAGAGTCCTCGTTCCTCGCGTATCTTCAAACAGAAACATTTGTTCCTTCGATCCTTCCTGCATCGATTACTATTACTCGAAAGAATTGGCGATTTAGCCAGCGTTTAAAGCGTAAGCGTGTCGATGATTTGAATGGCCGCCGTTTAGCAAACTAAACTAAGTGAACCTGTGCCCTATTCGCTACGCATATACAATGCTTGGAAATGCTCGAGTCGAGAGGGACGAAAGAAGGATATACTTTTATCCCTGATGATGAACGCAATAACAACCGATGAAATTCTTTCGTTCGCACAGGGCAGAGAATTCGAGAATTATTGCTAACCGTGTTCGCTTCTCGCCTGTAACTATATTCTCGACTCTCTCGTCTGCCCCGTCTACGATCCGATGCCCTTCGATTCATCTGGCTTCTAGGTCAGTAGAATTCGCGTTTTATCGTTTGAATCTTTCGAAAGGAAAGGTTTCTTTTTCTTTTTCTTCTTCCTTTTTTTTTTTTTTTACTTTTTTCCCCTTAATATTTTCGCGTCAGAGATCGAATGGAAAAAAAGGTGTGTCGTGTAACTAGCAAGTTAGAGTAAGAGCGTTTTTATCGACGAATTAAAGACAGCTTTTCTATTTTTCTTTTTTTCTTTTTCTTCTTAAGGTATTAACGATAAAATTTTACACTTTCAACATGTCGCTTAACTCCTGGTTAACGGCAGACACCACGATATAATCTATATTTTATTTATTTAATCGTAATATGTAGACGGCGAGCGGACACGCTGGACGATAAATGGGCCGTTCGTTTTACAACCACCACACGAGATTTCCGCTTCCCTCGAAAGCTTTTCGAGCGAATTCATCCACCTGGTGGCTCGCAGATTTTTCCTTCAATTTCGCAACACGGGATGAACTCGACACGGGAAGAATCGCACGCTCGAAACATCTTTATCTATCTTTCGATTCAACTTCGCCCAACTTCGCCTCGAACTTCCGAAAGCGCGAAATCCTTACCTCGGCCGGGTAATCAACGCGCTCAGCGTTCGTAGCTTCGTATGCTGGTGATTAAATGCTGTGACAAATTCGATTTTACCGAGATATTTTTAACTATGTGTACACAGGTAACCCTAGACGACTAGCTGTACGATTTGGGGAATGGAATACAGAAACCAGCGGGGACCACAGTGGTGGGGCGCAATTTTTCTCGTCTTTAATCTTTAACAGGGCTATCGAAGAAACATCGAAGCACAATTATGTACAAACGAGTCGTTTCTTCGTCATTTTTTTAGTGCCTCGGATCTCCTCATCTTTTTTCTTTTTTTTTTCTTATCCTGCTGTCCCATATAAATCGGTCAAAATTTTAATCTATCGCACTCTGAGAAAAAAATAATTCTCTCTCATTCTCTCTCTCTCTCTCGCTCGCTCGCTCGCTCGCTCGCTCGCTTTCTCTCGAGAACGGATCCTGCCAAAGCGTAACGATTATCATAACGCGTGGAGAACATTGTTTTTTTCTTTTTTTCCAGCCCACGATTTCACTTCTCTCGAATTTTATGATGTTAATATGTAATCATCGATGATATCGTTTTTTCCCGGAAACGATCGATAACCAATTATCGGTCCTCCCTTAAAACACGCGTTCATTCTTCAAAAGGAGAATTTTATTCTTCTCTTAACGTGATTTCCGCTCCTGTCCCTCCTTCCTTCGTCCAGGACAATCCTACGTATATCCTTGGATTGCGTTTTTCTCGACGCACGAAGAAAACGCTCGATGATTTCGTGTTACGAGTTATCTATGTGTATGTATTTATATATATATATTTGGTTCGGTTTCGAGACTATGATCGAGGATTCGTTTGGAACTAGTAGTATATATATATATATATAAATCGTAATAGTGGTTCATTTCTTCGATAACTTTCTCGATGGAAGATCGAGTAAAATTCACGCGTTCAATTAATCAACCCATCGTTTTAGGCTTTCTATTTTCAAGCTCGATTAGATATCGGTGCAACTTGTATCCTTATTTTATTTAGACTAGATAGACTCCAAATGGAAAGTTTTATTTCCTCGAAATAGAAACGAGCTCGAAGGAAAAAAACGAGTTCGAAGAAAAGGGGAGGAAGGGAAAGTTGGATGATCGAAGAAATTCTATCTTGAATAAACGAGCGATAAAATTTTTCAGAAGAGTTGCAACAATATCTAAAGAATGATATAAAGTGTGTGTGTGAAGAAGAAGAATGTGAACGAAGAAGAATCGAAGATCTCTGCTATTAAAGCAAACGGTAACCATAATTCACACGTATCAATTATCCATTTAAACGTTCTAAGTATGATTTATAAATATACGTATCTATGCGTGACTATTTACACATGTAAAGATCATCTCATATAACAATAAATATCGTTCTATCGATCGACGAACGAAGGCTCTCTCTCCAACAATTTCCATAAATATCTGCAACGGCTGTCAACGTAAAATAGACACGTTACCAAGTGAATTGGGACTGAGAAACTATATGGAAGTCGTTCATGCGTCAACAGTTCTCTATATACGCTTCATCGTAACTGTAGCTCGATTAACATACCAATTATACGCGATTTATGATAATATTTCTACAAATTCTTCTGTATATGCTTCGTTCGTAGCATAATTCACGATTAATATTTACAACACACCCTCTTTAACGATGCCATAAATCATCTATCACACGATTAAACACACGCGATTCGATTCGATGAAGGTTTTTATTTATTTATTTATTTTTTTCTTTTTCCTTTTAGTTTCAGATTCTTTCGATTCTACGAACCTAGAAGAAAATCTCTCGTTTGTCTCGTTTCCCTTCATTTCCCAATGAACGATGGATGATTCTAGATACAGAATCGTGCAACGATTTTAAAAGATTCGGAACGATAAATCGACGAGTCCCCCGATGGGAGAGAAAAGTGCGTTTTTTTCGTGCGTCCGAATTTTCTTCTCTTTTCTTTCTCTTTCTTCTTCTTCTTCTCCCTCTTCTTTTTTTTTTATTTTTATTTGTTATCTGCATCGCAAGATCATCGAGCGTGCACGAAATGTTCGTTTATTGTCATCTTGAAAGCTAATCAGCACCACTTGTCTCCAATCTCTCTTTCACTCTTTCGTCCTCGTGCATTTCTTCATTAAATCTCGAAACAACGTTTCGCCATTGTTTCCAACGGCAGTTCACGTTTTATATTCCCCCTCATTTTACGTACCTCTTTTTTCCCTCTTAACTATCTAACTATATCTTTCGCCTCGTTAATTTCTTATTTGTTTCTCGTTTTTCTCGTAATTATTCTTTTTATTCTCCGTTCCCTTCAACTAGAGTTCTATGCGCTCGTTATACAAACGACGATCTTTGGACCCGTGACAAGAAATCCAAAAAAAAAAAAAAAGAAAAAAAAGAAGGAAAGGAGTGAAACTGCCCGTACATACTTCCGTCCTTTCCATTGGATCGCGTCTTGCATCTTTCCACGGACAACGGGAAGAAAATAACGACGGGGAATACGATATTCTCGGAATTGATCGACTTGACGTGACTTCTCTGTAATCTTTTCAATCAAATCGATATAGAAAGGTGTATAAGGTGTTTCCGAGGGGATATAATTCTCCTCACACTCGTATTTCTTTTCTTTTCTTTTTTTCCCCTCGAATTTCACGTTTTACATTTTGACGAAGTGCGAATTACTATCCTTACGTCGCGTTTCACCCTCTCTGAAATATTTTTCTGAATGTTCATAGAGCGACGGGACAATAAGTATCGAGCGCTTGAACGAAACTCGACGTAGTGGCAACCGACTTGGCAGGAAAATCAATTGGATGGAAAATGCATGCAGATTCATTGATCCCCGTGAAACAGAGCATCCCCGGACGATCATGAGACATGCAATCAACTCGTCTACTACTGAAAAAACTATCTAGATACTATAATAACAAGTGTAATCGATCTTCCGTCGACGCTCTGTCTCGATCATCCTTTACTGTTCACCAATTATTCTTTTATGACGCTGTAAAATCGTCGAGCTTCGCAAAGCGGTAATTTCAACGGCTCGTTCGCAACGGATCAGAAACGAAAAATTTTCACGCGTTAATTTTCGACTCGAGATCGATCGAACGAATTATTATTTCATCTTCGACCGATCTTTCTCTATTTTCCAGAAACTTTCAGGCGAAAGAAAGCATGGCGACGTTTTGCGATTCGAAACGAAGCTACCAACTGCCCCCACTGAATCCTCCTTGGCCGATTCCTTTTTGGAATTTGTAGCAAGGGGTTGAGACGTGGATGATGATTTACTGGATGGATGATGATTACTGGATGGATGACGATAATGACGATAATGATGATCGTGATGATTAATAAAATGATGAAGTGATGAACCATGTTGTTCTGGGGATGTTGTTGTTTGCTTGTATTGTCGCTGTCGATGTCGATGAGGTATCACTGTTGCCTGTTTGTCGGTTATTATTATTACTTTTTTTTTCTTTTTTTTTTTTTTTTTTTTTTACTTTTCTCTCTAAATGCTCTAGAAATGCTCTAGATTGCTTCTACAGTTGCGTGTGTGTGCACGTAACAACATCGAAGAAACGAAGAAGATCGATAGCGTATATATATATTTTTTTTTTCGCTTTCTTTCTACGATTCGTTACGACTGGCCTGGTCTACTTATCTGCTATCCTGTTTGTCGCTTCTGTTGTTCGCCTGCTCTCGATCGTTTCTCGATTCCGATTCCGTCGACGTCTTCTCTCTGCGGGGAAACAACGCGAACAACTTCGTGGAGAATCGTTCTACCGTATTTTTCTTGGGTTAAAGTTTCAACAGCAATAAAGTTTCTCTAACTCTATTTAACGGCAGTAACTGTTTTAAGCGATCTGACTATCTGGCTACTACGATGAATCGAAATTGTGTGCCTCCTTGTGTTCCTCTACGCGAATTAAGCGAAGATACTCACGAATCAGCACAACTGTTGCCATTCCTAGTTGCCGGTCTGGAAGAACTCGAATCACTGCGACGATCGTTCTTTGCTTCTTCATCGTCGTCGTCGGATGTTTCCAAAACCTTGACGAGCAGTTGTGGCGTCCCTTCCGAACACGTTGGATTCGATTCCACCGATAACTCGATGCTTTTCTCATCCTGGGCACAGATTGAGCAAGACGCTGTTTTATACACTTTCGAGAATCGAAAAAGAATTAGAAATTACCTCTTTCTTCAGCTTCTCCAGTAACCTCTTCCTATCTGCCGTCAGTTGATCGGCTTGCTCGGATTGGGCGGCAGTTTTTATCCCGGAAAGTTCCAATAGAGCTAGATGCGCGTCTTTTTCGGAAACTGCAGCTTTCAGAGCTTCTCGTCTATATCGTTATAAAAGAAAAAAACAACAAGTTTTTATCACAGGTGATATTAATAGGAAAGTATTCAAAACTATCATTCTATTTGCTTACTTCATTTGACGGAGATCTTCGAGCTGCACGATTCTCTCTTCCGTGAGACGTTTCAGTTTCTTCTCGTATTTCTGCACTTTCGATAGAAGAGGTTGACAAGTGATACATTTTAATGCCGAAGCGGATTGCATCGAGGCAATTCTCTGTTCCAACTTGGTCATCTGGAAGAGAAAGAAGAAGAAGAAGAAGAAAAAAAAATAAGAATTTCGATTTTTTTTTCTTTTTTTTCAAAATTCAAAACGATCGAATGCATTGTTCTTTACCCTTTGAACAGCTTCCTGCCTCAATTTCTCCTCGTTCTTCAATTTTCTCTCGCTTTCGCTCGTGATGACGACACTCTCGCGAAGAGCTTCGCCGAGCTCCTCGATCTTGTATCTTTTGTCCGTCAGATCTTTCGACAATTGTCGTTCCTTGTCTTCCTTTTCTTTGATCACGTTCACCAGCTCCTCGATTTGCTCCAGATCGATTCTCTCGCTGAACGCCCGTTCCAACGAGTCCACTTCGTCCTCGAGTTGTTGAATCTTCTCGTCCCTCACTCTAATTTCCTCCTTCAGAACACCGATGTCGGCGTACTCGCTCAATTCCTTCTTCAGGCTTGCTATCTCCTTACCGAGCTTCGTTATCTCTTCCTTGCTCTCAACGATTTGCTGTTCGTACTCCTGTATCTTGTTGTCTTTCTCGGATATAGCGTGCTCCATCTTCTTCATCTTCTGTTCCTTTTCGAAATTCTTTTCCACCATTTGAGCAGAGAGAGAATCCCTTGTTTCTTTTTCTTGATCGCCCTTTTGCGTTTCTTTACCTGTAAATTGGAATTTTTGCTAATAATCGTTGCTTCAAAAAAAAAAAAAAAAGAACTCCAAGTTTTTAAGACCAAGGAATTTAATTCAACGCTAAGATTAAGAAACAAACAATCTTACCTCGACGAGCCTCTTCGACCTTCAATAATTCCTTTTCCAAGTATCCAACGCGATTTTGCAATTGATCGATTCTGCACTCCCTGTCTTCCAGCTTTCTCTTCAACACATCGACCTTGTGCTCCCTCACGTACTCCTCCAATTGGGTCACCATTTCCTCCAACTCGATCACTCTTTCCCGATCGATCCTAGACTCTCTATTCTCATCGTTCTTCTGGATCCATCTCTCCAATTCCTGAATTCGTCTGTTTCCAGCTGTCACTTGGCAACGCAGCTCGTGCAACTCTTTCACATCGGGATTCTGTTTGAGGAAATCCTCGAATTCAGCCACGGTATCTTCCAACTCCTCTATTCTTCTCGCCTTCCTCTCGATCACGATCTCCATGTCTCGTATACTCTCGGTATCCGCGTGCTCCCTGAGAAAATTCTCCAACGACTCCATCTCTTGCTCCAATTCCACGATTCGTCGATCCTTCGTCTCCACTTCTAATCTCCATGCCTCATCGTTATCTCGTATTCCGGCTTCGTTGTCCTCGAATCTTTTATACTCCTCGATCAAACGCTTCAACGACTCTATCTCGTCCTCCAGCTGCACAATTCGATCGTTCTTCGCTCTCATCTCCTTCCTCCACGACTCCTTCTCCTCCTTCAGCTCATCGATCAGTTTCAGGCTTTGGGTGCATTCGTTGTCGCTGTTCTTCGCGCTCTTGCAAACCATCAATTGATCCTCCAATTCGGCTATTCTTCTATTCTTCGTTTCCAACTCTTTCTTCCAACCCTCGTCATCCTCGAAACTGAAATTCTTGGCGTCCTTGATTCTCTTCGAGCAAGAGGATCGTTCCTTCGACAATATTTCCAAGGAGGATACTTTCGCTTCCAATTCGGATATCGTCGTTCGATCCCTCGTCTCCAGCTCGATTCTTCTTGCCTCTTCGTGTCCCCTCTCGAGGATGGTTTCCGGCTGCTGTGTGCGTGCATCGGTGGGTGCGTGCGCGAAGGCAACAGGTGTGAGCGTTTCAGAAGAAAAACAATTGAACGGAAAGAACGGGTGGAACAAGGCTGGAAGGTGGGTGGTGGCGGGGTTCAAAGTGGGGAGGGGGTAAAATAAGAACGAACAACGTGGCGGTTCTTTTGCCCCGTGGACAACATCGAATTGTCTCGTGACGAACGACGTAAGGGTGCGTCTCCGAATGCGTACGTACGTGCCACATCGATCAAATCTCCTTATGTGTCGTCTCCCTCTCTCGTTCTTTCTCTCCCCTCTCTCTCTTTCGAGAGTTGGTCTCTCTCCTCATCCTTTTTCATCGTAAACCATCTCTGGCACGACGACGACGACGACGACGACGACGTGAAAATTTAACCTCGAAAAACATTTCTCCCCAGCTCTTTTTTTCCCCATCTTTTCTTCTCCTCGTACTCTGCGTTCCCGTTCTCCTTTCTTACACCGTGATTTTCAACGTGATTTCTCGATATTTCTTCTTTCTCTTTTTCTTTTTAGGTTTAATTTATGTATATATTTATAATTTATATATATATCTACATATATACGTATATCTCTCTCTGTCGTGTACGTGTATATACACATGTACAGTACATGCGTTTGTCCCATTCTCCTGCGTGATATGTATATACATATATTCATATTACATATATATATATATATATATATATGTACATACACGGTCGCTTCGTTAATAAATTAATTAACATTATTGTATATTTGCCGTTTTCTCCTTTCTCTCTCTCTCACTCATCTCTCTCTCATCATTTTTACATTAATATTTATATTTTTTTTTTTCTTTTTATATATATATATATATATATATCTATATTGTGTATATATATATATATATTATATGTATCAGTAATTATTGTTATTATCGTCAATATCTTCCCGCTATTCAATTATTAAATATGTTAACAATGGTCGCAGCGTTACGTAAAATAATTATGTATCTTGACAAAGTGTGTCGTCAATGGCGAATCTCAGTACGATCTCCTTTCGTTCTCGTATAATATTTTTAGTTTCGTATAATAAGTTCGTGTACTTGTAAAGTTCGCTTAATATGCAAATTGTACTAAAAAGAACGGAGAAGGCGTCCCCAACGAAAATCGACCTTAGAACAAGCTTTTTAGGAATCCGGTGGGACCCGCCTGTTGTGTTTTCAAATCAAATGAATTTCCCCTCCCCCCCCACAATTTTCCATTCGGAAACGCACGGAAACGTTTTCGAAACGAGACAAAATCGAAGAATGCACACCATACACCATAAATATATATGTATATTTGGAGTTCGGACACAATGGGCGAACAAACATAGAGAAAAAAAAGCAAACAATGGTGATCAAGCAAGCAAATACAAATGTATACGTATCGTACGTGTAACGTGTCGTATCCAGAGGGGGTCAGCGTGAAAATTGAGAAAGACAACCAGTTAGTCGCTTTTCCGATCGATGCTAATTTCGAGATACGATTTCGATCGTATCAAAGTTATATGCGATATCTCGACGATATTGAAAATTAATTTTCAGGATCGAAAGAAAGGATTGATTTAATCGCGTCCTCGAAAAATTTGTAAACACCGATTAATATGAATAATTTCAAATACTGACCTCTTGTTGCTGTGCAGTTGCGGCTTGTTTCAACTTGGCTTGTGCGGCTTTGAGTGCACTGGAAGAAAAATTAGATGGAAGATTAGCGACGTTCTCTATTTGAATTTTTTTTTTTTTTTTTACGCTTGATACTGACTCTTGAAGTTCTCTGATTTGTCTTTCTTTGGCATTCTGCTCTTCCTGAGTCATCTGCATCAACTGCAGCAACCTTTCGGTCTCGGCAGAGCTTCTGGTCGATTCCTCCTTCGCCTTTTCCAATTCCTTCTCGGCAGTTTCCAGAGCCTTCTGCATTTCCGCCAATCTCTTGTCCGGCGAGCCACCGCTCTGCGAACGAAAGAGGAACAAACGCGGTGAGAGACAGGATCATTCACCGACCTATACGATTCTCGATTTTACTCAAAGCTTACCCTTTGTAACTGCTGCTCCAACTGATCCATCTTCGCTTCCGTTTTTTCAAGTCCTGGTCGAGACTTTGGAGCGTCCTCTCCTTCTCCTCTATCGTCCTAGCTTTCTGATCTACGGACTTCGCTCGTTCTTCCGTCTGTCTTCTCTGCTCTTCCACTTGGCGTTTCTGCTCCTCCAATTGTCTTCTCTCTTGAGTAGTGTCGATACCAGCCTTCGCGGCGCCAGCTTGGAGTTTCTTGTTCGCCTCGTGCAAGTCCACCTGCGTCGAAACGAATCTTATCAAATCTTTCGTTCTTCCCTCTTGTCTAAACCAGACGCTAAAGCTAAGGCAAATGAAAGCCGCTTCGCTTGCATGACCCGTGACCATTACGTCCGATCTTTCCCCCGATCTTTGCACACACACACACACAGAAAAGAATTTTCACTCGCGCAAAAAATTCCCTCCCCTGGAATTTGACTCGATTTTCCTTTGAATCGAATCGGGCCGCGATGGCCACGGTTTTCGTAAATGAGTGATGCAGTGGGAACGCAATTAAAAAAACAAGTTGTACGAATAAGAAATTCGCAAATCCCTGGTAAATCTACGTTGACGTTCATAGCGAAGTATAATAATAATAATAATAATAATATGTACAAAATACATAATAGATAAAAATCGTGTATGCGTCGAGATAAAAAATGTCTCGAAATCTGACATACTCGTAGGCGTGGTACAACGGAAACGCATTCTTTTGTGCATTGTCGTGTGAAAAATCATTCCATCAAAACTTTTATGCTCGATCGTGAACGCAGACGAGAACTCGAAACTCGATCGCATCGTACATCGCATCTTGCGCAAAACCGATTCAACCATTTTCTATCTCTGGCATCTCGAATACATGGTATCGGCATGCATCCCAAAAACGAAAAATAAAAATATTAGGGGAACGTAAAGAAAAAAAAATAATATATATATATATGCGATAATCGTAACAAGGGTTGCTCATCGTTGCGATGACGAACGCGCAACAAAATTATTGTAGCAGTAACAATAACCAGTCGATGATAAAAGAATCGACGAAAGAGACGATCATCGCGATCTCCGTTATTTTCGAATAACGTCGTTTCCATTCTTCGAAACCCGTTGTTTTTTTTTTTTTTTTTCTTTTCTTTTTCCCCTTTGATCTCATCGCCTCTTTGATCATCTCTCGTGCCGATGATGGAACGACAATAAAATATAACAAGTCAAAAAAACGGCATAACCATCGAACATACTCGAGAACGAAAAAAAAGAGCAATGAGCGCGAATGGCTGTGCTTGAGAGTAAAATCGCAATGGTTCGTAGGGTTGGAAACGGTTTTTTTTCTTTTTCCAAGAAAGGAGGAAGGATCGATGAAGGATTTTGGATTTTAAAAAAAACTCGAGGAGAATGATGATAAATGGTGAAGGCGATGTTGCGCTTCGCTGTGAAGTGTGACGGACGCCCCGAGATATACATATACGCAACGTAAGATGAGAAAGATTGTGCGGGTGCATCATGGTTTTTGTTTTTGGTTTTTTTTTCCAATTTCATCTGTACGTATATATATATGTTTTATACATGTATATATATATACACGATATATCGTTCGATCGTTATCGTTCTGTTACATACGTATATAATATCTGATATGATTCGATCGTTATTATTATTGTTTATTTTTTTTTTTGTCTGATATTTGCGGCGTGTATATGAGCTGTGGGCGAGTTTCTGCTTCGTCGACGACGAAGGCAGAGGCTGCGGTTGAAATGAGAAGACATAGAGAGACGAGGAGGCGCGATGATGTGTCGGTAGCCAGTCGACAACGATCAGCCAATGGTAATACATAGGCAGAGAGACATAGTGCAGGCATATTATGGTGCGGATGTAGGCTGTAGTAGTGTAGTAGTAGTAGTAGTAGTAGTAATAGTAGTAGTAGTAGTAGTAATAGTAATAGTAGTAGTAGTAGTAGTAGTAGTAGTAGTAGTAGTAGTAGCAGTAGTAGTAGTAGTAGTAGTAGTAATAGTAGTAGTAGTAGTAGTAGTAGTAGTAGTAGTAGTAGTAGTAGTAGTAGTAGTAGTAGTAGTACTAGTAGTAGTAGTGGTAGTAGGTTAGCGCGCGAGCGAATGCAGGCCGTGCTGCTGCTGCTGCTGCTGCTGCTGCTAACCTGAGATTTCTGCAGCTCCTGGCACAGCTTTTCGAGCTGATCCTGGAACCGCTCGCGCTCCACGCCCGCCTGTTTAACGTTCTCTTGAGCGCGTTCCAATTCCTTTCTCAACCTGGCGACCTCCTGGCCGTTTTGCTGTTGCGGATGCTGTTGTTGCTGTTGTAGCTGTTGTTGTTGCTGCTGCATCGTCACCTGCATCTGCTGGATCTGCTGTTGTTGAGCGTGCAACTGTCTCTCGGTATTCTGGATACGCTTTTGCAAATCGGCAGCCTGCCTCTCAGCCGCGTCCGCCCTCTGTTTCTCCGTCTCGCAAAGCTTCCTCCATTGCTCGAGCTGTGCCTCGTTCACTGGGCCGCCCGCCACGCTCGCATCCCTCGACGCGATCTGCTTCTGAAGTTCCTGCACCCGTTTCTCGGCCTGCTCGGCCCTCTGTCGTTCCTTCGTCTGGGCCTGGGTCAGGCTCTGCACCTGCTGCCCCAATCGATGAACCTCCCGCATCTGCGCCTCGAGGGCCTCCTTCGCCGCCCTGTCAGGCGTCTGCGCGTGCACCCTTTGTTGCTGCAACTGTTGCAACCGGCGGACCTCGTCCCGTTGACGCTTCAACTCGGCCTCGTTCGTCTCCAACTCTTGCTGGAAGTTGACCAGCATCTCCTGCGACTTCTCCAATTGTATCACCAACTGATCCCGTTCCACTTGCAACTGCTTCGCCTCGGCCTCGAGCTTCTCCTTCACCTTCTCGATCTTCTCCGAGTGTTTCTCCCGATTCTCTAGGATCGCGGCCATCTTGTCCCGTTCCCGTTGCGCGAGTTGCAACTCGTGCTGAAGGTGCGCCATCTCCTCGCTTCCGGCCAACTGTTGCTGCTGCTGTTGCTGCTGCTGTTGCTGTTGCACCCGTCTCAACTCCTGCCTAAGCGCCTCCCGCTCGTCCCTCAGCAACTGCATCTCGGCCGCGAGCCGTTCCAACTCTTTCTTGTTCGCCTCGGCGGCCTCCTGATACTTGGCCGTCTGCATGTGCGCCTTCTCGAGCTCCTTAGCCAATCTGCCGGCCTCGAGCTCCACCTGATCCCGTCCCACGATCGCCTTGTCCAGGCTCGCGCGCAGCCGCTCCACCTCGATGCTCGCGCTCTCCGATCTGGTCTTACCCTCGGTTTGCATCAACCTCTCCAACCGTACGATCTCCACCCGGAGCTTCTCGTTGTCCGCCTCCAGGGCGTCCGCTCTCGCCTTCACCTTGTCGTGACGATCGCGTATCTTCTCGGTTTCGATTCTAGCGCGTTCGATCTCGCCGCGATTCCGTTCCTGCGCCGCGGTCGCCTTGTTGGTATCCTCGCGCGCCCGCTCGAGCTGAAGCTGCGTCTCGTGCAGCTTCGCCTCGAGCTCGGCGTTGCTCGACTGCGTCCTCTTCAGCTCGGTCTCACGGCCCTCCAGACGCTCCCTCAGCTTATCCACCTCCTGTTGCAGCCTACTACCCTCGCTCTGCCACTTCTCTTGCTCGTACTGGTATTTACCTCGCGCTCCCTCCGCACGTTCCAGATCGGCGCGCAGCCTCGAGGCGTCCTGCTCGGCCTTCCTCGCGCGCTCGAGCTCCGCCAACGCCTTCTCCAGCCGATCGCGGAGCCGCTCCACCTCCAGCTTCGCCCATTCGTGTTCCTCCTTCTGCCGTTCCTGACTTTCCTGATACTTGCCGAACCTGGCCGCGTACCTCTCGCATTCCTCGCGCGCGCTCTCCGCCTCCACTCGCAGCCGTTCCGTCTCCGCCTGCGACTTTCTCACTTCGGCCTGCTGCCTGTCGTGCTTCTCGTACATCTTCTCGATCTCCAGTTGCATCCGCGCCAACTCCTCCTGCGTCTTGTCGGTCGCCGCCTGAGCCTTGGTCAGCTGCGAGTGGGCGCGCTCCAATTCGAAACTGATCCTCTCGTTGTCCGCCACCAATTTCTCCCTCTCGTTTTGCAACCGCCGCATCTCGATCTGCGACTTCTCGTAACGTTCGCGCACCATCTCCAAGTCGACCGTCAACCTGTCCAGATCCTCCTTCGATTTCTCCTCGTGCTCCTTCGTCCGACCCAATTGAAGGGCGGCCCGATCGTACATCTCCTGCACCCGAGCCAACTCCTCCTGCGCTTTCCTCGCCTCGTCGCGGCTCTTCGTAGCCAGCATTTGTTGCTTCTCGGCCTCAAGCTCCAGCCTGTCTTTGTCCGCCTCCATCACCTCGATCCGATTCTGCAGCCGATACACCTCGCTCTGGGCTCTGTCCATCGAAACGGATACACGTACAGAATACACACATGGAAGATACGTGGAAACGAAATTTCGTCTTTCGATCTCGCTACCCTCCCCGCCTCGATACCCACCTGTCGTACTTCTCCAACATCTTCTCGAACTCCTTGTTCGCGTTCTCCCGCTCCTCGTGAGCCTTGTTCATCGAGTATTGGGCCTTATCCAATTTCTCCTTCAGGATCTCGATCTCGGTGAGAGCGTCGTCCCGCTCGAGCTACGCGAAAGCAAACCACCGAGAATTACATCCCGTTCATACGCGATCCCTTATCAGCCGACTTACGGTTAACTTTTGATGGGAGTTGTGAGCCTTCTCCCATCTCTCCTTCACCAATTCGAGCTCCGACAATACGTTCTCCTTGTCCCGTTGCATCTTCGCTATTTGATTCTGCTGGAACTCTATCCTCTCGTGCAATTTGTCCGTTTCCTCTTGGAACCCGTCTCTCTCCTTCTGCAGCCGTTGCATTATCATCTGTCGATGTAGAAAAAAAAAAAAAAACAAATGTAGCGACGATGACGTAGCGGAATCGGTCGTTGTTACCGATTCGAGCAACGCGCTTACCTGAGCCTTCTCGTACTTATCCTGCAACCGGTCCACCTCCAATTGAATCGTTTCCCTCTCCTTCTGCATCCTCGTCGATTGGCCGAGCGCTTTGTCCAATTGACTTTGCACGTTCTCGAAATCGTAGTTCTGCTTTTCCCTCTCCATTTGCATCTGTTCATCGAAGAATCGAATCGTTCGAACATTTCCATCCTTATCTCGCTTAAGTAATAATAAACGGACGCTTTGCACACCTCGCGCGAGCGAAGCAACAAAGTTTCCGGAGACTCACCCTGCGAATTTCCGTTTGCGTTTTGTCCAGTTTCTCCTGCAGCTTGTCCACCTCGCTCTGCGTTTTGTCCAATAGATTCTGCAATTTGTCCTGTTGAAGTTGCGCCTTGCCGAGGGTAGCTTGCGTCCGTTCCAGTTCCTCTTGCGTTTTCTCCAGTTCAGCGATCGCCTTGTCCCGTTCCGAGTGTAGACGAGCCACCGACGCTTGCGCCCGATCGTATTCATCCCGAAGACTCTCCTGTTCACCCTGAGCGTTTTCCAATCTCGCTTTCAGCCTGTACACCTCACCCTGGCTCTTCTCCACCTTGGAAAAACGATCGATGAAATTTTTTTCACATCTCAAATTTCATTGGACTCGACTCGTCGAATAATCGAATCCCGTGACTCGATCTCGCGAGTCCTTCTTAATTAACGTATGCGTTAATTATAATTAATTTCCCTTCCACGCTCGCTTCCGTTCAATCTACTTGCTCGTAACGTTAATATTCAGGTTAGACGACGAATCGTTGGTTAGAAGAAAAGGAGAGAAACGAGTCGATGAAAAAGAGACGGATCTGAACGAGGGGTAATCTTTAAGGGAATTCCAGTCAAGTGTCTTGGATTGCGCTCGAGTACTGCGTGCAATTTTCCGCCCACTTGGACGCCAGTTTCATTATCGGTTCGTTTCGCGCCATCGATATCGTGGCCCGAGAAGAAAACGAGAGCGTGATTGGAAATTAGATCCGACTATCTTCCGATGGATCGGGGACCCAGACCGCGAATTCGCCCCGAATCAATCGATCGAACCGATTAAAAGTGATTGTTCTTGCTTCTTCGACTTCGTGAAATTCGGTGGTTCCGACTCGACTTGGCCGTTCGTTAACAGCTACACGGATTGCACAGGTTCGGGATACCACGGTGATTAATTGGTTGGAAGGACGGATCTTTCGATTATTCGACTCGACGAAAATTCCGTTGCACAATTGCGAGGGATGATAGATTTATTCAAGACCGATCCATTTCTACGACGGGTATATTGGAACGGTGTTTCCCTGTAGATAGAGTCTATTCTCTTGCAAGAATGAAACGAAACGCAAAGCCTATCCTCTCTCACGATTTTAATAACAAGCGAGTGAACGAATGTTATCCTCTGCTGGAATAAACGAATGGAATAGAAGATACAAATATTTCACCTTTTCTTGGAGAGCAGCCGCCTCGGCCCTAGCTCTCTCGTTGTCAGCCTGCGTGACTCTGAGCTCGGCCTGGGCCCTCCTCAGTTCAGCGGCCGCCTTCTCGGCCCTCTCCTGGATCCTGTCCATCTCCTGAGAGGAATTGAGGGTGCTCCTTCCGTAACTGGTCTGAGACCTCTCGATCTCGTGCCTCAGCCTCTCGTTCTCGAGCTCGAGCCTGGTCAGCCTCTGCTTGGCAGCCTCCCAGTCGGCCCCGCTGCGCCCAACCTCGGACGCCGCTTTGTCCAGCTCGGCTTTGCTCTTGCCGAGCTCCGACTGCGAGCTCTCCAGCTTCGCCTCCAGTCGATCTTTCTCCGCTTGCGCCCTCTCCAACCGGGCGCCCAATTTCTCCACCTGAGCAAAATTCAAGGGGGAGGGTCGAACAAGATCTTAATTCACACTTATTAGACAGGGGAGGAGGGGGGTAATCTCGAGAAATTTCACACCGATCTCGAACCGATTTCCCTCTCCTCTCCTCTCTTAACGAACGCTAAGGAGTTAAAGTTTCATGGAAGCTCCGCTGGGAATTATCGATCGTATCGACTGAAACAATGTTAAACGGGGGGGAGGGAGAGATGCGCTTTGAACGCGAACTGGATGCACCTTTGATGAATATTTAATCGATGCATCGCATTCGTTTGCATCGCGATAAATCATAAGGATTTGTTGGAGATGTTTCCAATTTTTACCTTGCCAATTTTTATAAAATGGGTATCACCGGTTTGGCAATATAATTACCAAATTATTCCGATCTTTCTTACGTCGAATAATAAATCGGGCATCCCGATTTGATTTGGGAAAGGAAATCTATCGAGAACAGGGAACCCACCTCCGACTCGAGGGCATGTATCTTCATTTTGTACTCGGCGATCTCCCTCTCGTGCAACTCCCTTTCCTCCTGTTTCTCCTGCTCGGCCCGGTCCCTCTGTTCCCGTAATTGTGCCATTTGCTTCTCCTTATCTCCTATCGCCTCCTCGAGGCTACTCAGCGCACCTTCGCTGCTGCAGTGGTGCGCCTGCATTGCCGTTAAACGCGCCCTGGCCATGTCGACTTGGTTGTCCTTCTCTTTTAGCAGATCCTCCAGATTCTCGATCTGAACTCACAATCGTTCACCCGTTACGGCTCCTATTTCTCTCTCTCTCTCTCTCTTATTTCTCGGATATAGGAAAGCCAAGGTTCGCTCATTTCGAGCGGGGAAAAGGCAAAAAATCGGGAAATAAAAATATGGAATTTCTTCGAGAAGGATTGGAATTGGTAATTGATAATACTTGGTGAGTACGAGATTAATGGGACGTAAATATTTTTTTTAGTCGGCGTGGTTAGTAAGTGTATTTTTATCCCCTCAAGACTCGTGTTATTCGTGTTACGTTCAACTCTTTTTAACGTGATCGTTAATTCCTTACTTACCTGCCATCTCGTATCACCGATCTTCACGGCCATTGTTCACAAGCTGTACAGCTCATTTACTCGCGACCAGGCACTCGCGATACAGGCACAGCAATAATAATAATAACAATAATATTTGGCCTCTACCGCGGAACGGAGATAAACGGAATCGTGGATTAAAGATAAAAAAAAAGAAAAAGAAAACAAGCTTCTCGGTGCTTTCCACGAAGATAAAAAAATAATAAGCCAAGCTTAATTTTCTCTACCTAATAGAGTCGCGTCGGTAATCAACGACAGCCTTTGATCTCCCTTCGAGCACGATGCGAATATTCTTTTCACGAGCTTCTCCCGATCTCTTGGCTCGTCGTCAATCACCGACGAAAACGCACAAAAAGAAGAAAACACGAGAAAATCACAACGAAATATAGGGATGGGATGCGTGTAAAAAAGAATAAAAAAAAGGAGGCAACGTAATTTCCAAGTGGTCTTTTTTTTTTTTTTATTGAAAATTCGACAACAAAATAATTCGTACAAAATAAATCGGGCAAATTTGATAAAGTAAAAGAAAAAAGAAAAAACAGGGATGTTGCGAACTTAAAGATAACGCGGGATCTCGGGTGTTTTACGTACTACAGCCTTTACACAGCACGACTAAGGAAAACATTATTACAAAAAGTATGTCGCGCGGTCGCGCGCACGCCTCACACTCATTCCAATCGACAGCAAGATTCACACTCATGCGCACTCCCGCGGTCCCGCATCCTACGAATATTCAACGCTAACGGTGCGCTTCCACTTTGATCCGGCTGACGGATTAATCGGTTGGCCCGAAATCCCTTTCCATCTGGCGGAAACTAATTACCGCCTCCTACCCTCGCGATCCAGAGATCGCTTCTTTCGATCGTAGCCAGATTTAATTATAATTAATATCTGTCGATTTTTTTTTTTTTTTATTCATCGTTGATCAAGTTTTAGGAATAAAAGTTTTCCTCCTAAGTGGTGATCGCGTAATCGTTTCGATTCGACGGAGGAGGAATAAGGGAATGAAATTCGTCTTCTCGACGAACGGGTAATAAATTGTTACTAAATTATCCGAAGCGCGAATAATAGAATCGGTAAAGTGGTGAAAATGACGATCGTTGACTAAACGAAACGAATCTGTGTATGTAATTCGATTCTTTAATTTATACCGGTGGTTGTCATCTTTATCTCTGCTCGCCCGAGATAGAAATAAATCATCGATCTTTTCGATCGATGCCGCATCGTGTTTTCCCCCCCTCACTTTGTCCTTGGAAGCTCGTAAATACAAGTATAATCGTTACAAAAAACATTTCCCCGTTATATTTATCGCGCGTCAATAATCAAGTTCCTTCCAAGAAGAAAAGAAAATAAGGATGCAAATATTCTTACGACCACCGATATAACTTTATCGAAAAATTTTAAAATCAGCGCGAGAAACAAATCTCTTCTAATTGTTCCAATTTTTTTTTCAACTCGAATAGCCAACGAGATATATATATATGCACATATACATGTACGAAGTCGAAAGAAAGAAAAAGGAAAAAAAGAATTCAAGGCCACTCACCTTGCGCTGAAGCACGTTGATCTTCCTGTCCTTAATGTCCATGTGATCCTTGAGCTCGGTGAGCTCGGTGTTCATACGATTCCGCTCCTGTTGCGCCTGCATCGCCGCCTGCGTCTTTTTCTCGATCATCCGGTTCTTCTCCTCGAGCCGCTGCCGCATTTCCTCCACCTGCACGCACGTAATCACGCACAACCTGGGTCATCGTACGTCGTGAGGTGAGCGTGGGGGGGAGGGGGGAGGGGGGGAGGGCGATGCCAGGATGCCTATTCAATCCGCCGCCGCATTGCACGGGCGGTGTTCCGCACGCGACGAGTCCGGTCGGATGAAGGAGAGGAGGACGAGGAGGAGGAGGAGGAGGAGGAGAAGCTTTGCACGACCCAGTTTCCCGCACCAGCCTGGCCTTCCTTTCCCCTATAACCATCCTCCCCGTAAAGTCGATTTTCCCCAGTTTCAACCCCCGTACGTACGATCCCTCCTCCTCCTCCATCCCCCAACCCTTCGCTGCTGCGTTTCCCACTGCGTTTACCGGTGCATTTACCGGTGCATTTATCAAGGTGCGCGTTCTCGCTGGGAAATTCGAATGGGACGAGTATTTCTTCTTCTATATGGGTATGGTTAAAAGTTGGAAGCTTTTTACGGTCGAAACTTGTAATTTACGGGGGCGGTGAAAGAAGTTTTCGACTCTTCTTTTTCCCCGTTCCTGATAAAGTTATCGCGAGTGGCTTTAACTTGAAACAAATTATGCTAAACTCGTGGAAATTCTTTCGAAATCGTTCGAGATAGGAAGAGAGAAGGCAAGGATAGCGATTTATTCGTATCGTGGAATGGACTCACGTCAGCCTGCAGCATGTTGTAGTGTTCCTCCTTGGCGGCGAGCGACTCTTTGAGCACGGTGATGTGCCGCTGGTAATCCTGGTGCTGCTCCTCCAGGGTTTTCATCTTAGCGGACATGGCGAGCAGCTCCTGATCTCTACGCTGCACCTCCATCCGTAGCTCGTCCAGCTGCGAAAAAGAGCCGTCGTCCACGAGTGGATCAGTGGTTGCGACCCGGTTACGTATTCGAAACGACGACGAAACAACGAGCGACGGAGGCGGCTGGTCTGTCGTCTCTCCGTCGTGGCCGAGTACGAGGACGATCAGCGGCCAACTTCCCCTCGATCGCTTCGCTCGAAACGGGTAAATCGGCCGTGAAACGGGTCACCCGTTTCTCCTTCCGTTCCGATCCGCCAACTTTTCGACTTGCTCTAATCGCTTTGTCGAACGGGGGGGAAGAGCCAGCCGGCCTGTCCGGATTGGCTTCAATTTCTTTTTTTTCTTTTTTTGAAAACAGCGACCCACGTCGTGGAATTCCATCGATTCGAAACCGATTTTTCGCGTTTATCGAGTATATGTTTCCATCGAATGGAAATCGACGTAACGAGAGAAATTTCGTTGCGCGAATAATTTTTTTTTCGAAACGAAATTGAATGGAGCGGAATCGGATTTCTCATTTCTGGATTTCGTTGATTGAACGTCGTCGTACTCGGGCAGGAAGTTCATACTTAGCATGCAGCGATATCGAAAACCAACGATACAAAGTTACAAACAAAGTGTATGTCCTGCGTGTACGAGAGATATATATACTCATTACGTGTTCGAACGAATGTATTCGGGAAAACGGTGAACAGAATTCACGGGAATAATAATCCAAGGTATCCGGGTAATGGAAAATCGGGAGTGGAATTGTTGTGGGACGAATCGTATTATGTATTGTGTCTCTCTCTTTATTATTCGTGTACGTACCCACTACGCTCGTCTGATCTACTCTGGTGTCGGCAGGCCGCGTGAGGATCCCACGGCGAGATCCTCTCCGTTCTACAAGATCCCGCCGCGGGATCGCAAGCAGAATTAACACAACTAGATAGATAGTTTTCTAACTAATCAACTAGCAGAGTACGCAGCGTGGAGGAGATATCGCGCTCCTCTCTTCTGGTAGCGTCTGCGATCCTGCGATCGAAGCCTTTTCTTTTAAATAATCGATCCACTCGCGGAACTCGCTTTCTCTCTCCGCTTTTATCTTCTATCGAATTCGAGATCGAGATCGAAATAACCCCCGATCGCAGGTCCACTCGCTTCAAAACCAGATGACGCGCGTCTATCTCGGCCCAAAGATAAAGCGGCAGGGATCGAGGGATCGATCGGGAACCCCTCGATCCCTCCCCTCCCCCTCTCTCCAGCGTTCTATATCGTGCCAAAAAAAAAAAAAAAATATGTGTGAGAACAACACAGGTCTACGTAGAGGCGTGACGATCGTGGCGATCGGCCTCGAACCGGCCTCATCACGTCACGCGTCACGTCTCTATGGATTCCTCGATGCCTCGCAACGACGAACGTGGCCACGAACGAGCCACGATCTCTGCATTCACTATATTAAATAATATATACGTGTATATATATATATATATATATATACACATCTACGATCGTCGTGTTTCAACTGCACACTCACGCGCGGGGAAACTGTTGTGAGAAATTCGAAATATCTTAATCTTTTCGCTCCTCTTCTTCCTCTTTCGTTCCCCCTGTCGTTCGTCAATCGAAATCAAGGGGGAGGCAAGACGGGGGGTTCGTTTCCGCGCGCGTGTTACGTGAATTGTTGCGAACAGTTGGATCAACGAATCACATCAGAGAAAGGGACAGAGAGAGAAAGAGAGAGAGAGAGAGAGAGAGAGAGAGAGAGAGAGAGAGAGT